AAAAAAAAAAAAAAAAAAAAAAAATTAGAGATTTCCTCAAAAACAGGAATTTTAATGATATCCTATTATTATCACTCAATATAAATGATGTCTTTCAGATTAAAAAACAATTTTTTTAAATCTTTATTTATTTTTGAGAGAGAGACAGAGTGTGAGCAGGAGGAGCAGAAAGAGAGGGAGACACAGAATCCAAAGCAGGCTCCAGGCTCTGAGCTGTCAGCACAGAGCCCGACACGGGGCTCAAACTCGTCAAACTGAGAGATCATGACCTGAGCCGAAGTCAGATGCTCAGCCGACTGGGCCACCCAGGCGCCCTTTAAGTGACTTCTTTAGACAAACAGAAGTGTGAATACGAATTATTATTTCACTTATAGACATTTTGAATGTGAATAGCTGAGAACTTTTAATTCATGGAACAAAATTGAGAAACAGTCACCTACTGATTTTGTTTCTCCTTGGAAACACAGGAGTACTTTGGGCCTCTCTGGTGCCCTTCCATGCCTGCCCTCCACTGGGCTTGCCACTGTGAACCACAGTCCAAACCTTGGCTAAGTGAAGCCAGCATTGGAGAATACTGGCTCTATGTCTGGGGAATCTTTGGGGACATGGCATCATGTGTGTGAAAATCTAATCTTGGTTAGAAGTCCCAGCATGATGGCAGGGTTATGCTCTCTCAGGGTATTCTGGGGATCCACCATCAAAATGGAGGTGACAGTGTATCTCCTCAGTGGGGATACCCTGATGGAATGACTGACAGGAGTGAGTGAAGAGATCAAAGTAGAGGTCTTCAAATCAAAGAACTATCTAATATCAAAGATAAAAATTTACTTAAAAGAAGTCCATATAGGCCCTAGACCTAATATGATGAAAAATGCCAACTCTAACATACACTGGCATGTGATTAGTACTTTTTGTCCTATGAATACCAAGTTTAAAAACAGCAGTTGCACACTGGCAGCTTCCAAGCCAAATCTGGCCCACAGACGTGCTTTATTTAGCCTATGAAACAACATGTGACCCCAACATTTTATTTTTATTTTATTTTTCCTTACTGTGTGTATTTTATTTATTTTTGTTTTGTTTCTTTGGGGGGGGTTGGTTTTTGTTTTGATAATTATTTTTTCTTTTTAACCCCAACATTTTCAATTGGAAAGTTACATATAAAAATATAGATTTCTGGGGCACCTGGGTAGCTTAGTCGGTTGAGCATCTGACTCTTGATTTTGGCTCAGGTCATGATCTCATGGGCATGATCCTGCGTCAGGTTCTGCACTGTGTGTGGAGCCTGCTTAGGAGTCTCTCTCTCCCCCTCTCTCCCTGCCCTTCCCCCGTGTGCTTTCTCTCTCTCAAAATAAATAAATAAACTTAAATAAAGAGACTACTATCAAAAACCAATGAACTGAATACCAAGCCAGCTATGTATTACGGAAACTGAGTACTAAATGTATAATACTTTTTAGGGAATTCAGAATTTGATATATTTAAATTGCTGTATTTATAATTCAAACAAACCTTGTTTAATGTGATTATATTAGAGCAGCATTTTGAGATAGGATATATACAGTACAAGCTATATCTCAAATAGGATTCCAACTGTAACTTTTTTGACATTTGTATGGGGACAATATTGAAAAGAATTATGCTGTTAATGGTTGTGGGTAGAATTATGGGTGATTTTTTTTGGCTTTGTCTCTATATTTTCAAATTTTTCTACAATAACTATATTACTTTTTAGAGCCAAAAAAATAAAAGTATTTACGATGTTTCTAGGGGCGCCTGGGTGGGTCAGTCGGCTGAACGTCTGACTTCAGCTCAGGTCATGATCTCATGGTTTGTGGGTTCGAGCCCCACATCGGGCTCTGTGCTGATAGCTCAGAGCCTAGAGCCTGTTTCAGATTCTGTGTCTCCCTCTCTCTCTGCCCCTCCCCCACTCACGCACTGTCTCCCTCTGTCTCAAAAATAAATAAACATTAAAAAAAATTTTTTTAAAAGGTGTTTCTAGGTGGGACAGCAGGTTAGCTGAACTAATATCTTCAACATTACTATCAAGACTAGCCTTTTCAGGGCATCTGGGTGGCTCAGTCTATGGAGCATGTGACTCTTGATCTCAGGGTCGTGAGTTTCAGGCCCACATTGGGAGTAGAATTTACTTAAAAATGGATAAACAAAAAAGACTAGACTTCCCAAGTAAGTTGGTCAGACAGGTGTCATCACTTTATATATTTTCAAGATTATTTAACTTTTTCAAAGTTTTTTGCATTTGTCTCATTGAAGAGCAGGACGAGGATCCAGGACAAGGATTAAAGCTCTATACCACCATACCACACTGGCATTTTAAGAGATGTCTAGTTGACTCAGTAATATAAACATGGGACATTGAAACACTAAATACCTAATTTCAGATATCTCGAGTTCGAAAGTGGATTTTTTTAAAGCTAAAATGGCTTTATGCTGATTGTTCTGTTTGCTACTTAATACCTGTTTCCATTTCAAATTTTTATAAGTCATGTTTCAAGTACAAGGTTCAGCTATATAGTGCAGGCAGTATTTCAAGTAAATGTTTTAATTATATCAGTACCTCTCCATTACTACCTTGAAAATAAAAAAAATGTAGTCTCTCTGGCAGGATCTGCATGTTTGTATCACATTTCTATCTACAACAACTTTTATCCTAGAATATTGAACCAGGGGTCGTAAGACAAAAGACCTTAGACCATGTTCTAATTACTGTTGTGTTTGTAAGTTACTTGACCTAAGTTTCAATTCTCTTCTCTAAAAATGGGATTAGCAGACACTGGCCTACCTTGAGTTTGAGGGTTGAATGAACTACTCATGAAAATGTCCATAAATTATAAATATCATAAATATAACGTAGCATTAGAACTACTTGTCTAAGATATTACTGTTTTAAACTTTAAAGCTATGTTAATTCTGCTTACATTATATATTCAGCATGTATCTTTTCATTATGCATATATATAACTTTTCACTGGTCTCTTTACAATCTTGTTGTACCCATCTTTAAGTGGTCTTCTTTATAGGTACAAAATAGGTGTGTGTTCCTAAAAGGTTGTAAAGTCAACTTTGCATGAGCCATACTTGACTTATTAGAATACTTTCTCTAAAGGAAGGCTAATTCTTTTACGAAATGTAAAATATATTATTTTAGAAATAGTGATTCTTCTCTCATTGGCAGACTTGAGGAGGGTATATTTTAATCATGGCACTTTCTACTTTTGCAAGATTTTGTATCATTTCATTTAGGAAGGTGCTACTTCTACATAACTACATACAATTAGGCAAGAAAGCATCTTTGTCTCAACAGTGAGTTTTATTATATTTTTGAATTTCAAGAGGTCATGGTGAAAAAGACCTGACTGATCTTAGAAATATACACAATATACCTTTACTTATAGTATTCACTATTTATTTTACATTTTTGTGATAATCACAACACTTAATTTACGATAATATAGGAAACAACAGCTACCTTAGATTATAGGGTTATTTTAAGTAAGGGGATACAAAAGCCCATGGCACATGACAGCCAATAAATATGTGACATTTCCTTCACACATCTACATTTGTTTCTTCGTTCACTTCCCCTGTGATTCTGTGGCATCCACAGATTAGACAATTTAAAATTTTTAATTCAGTATATTAATATACAGTGTTGTATTAGTTCTAAGTGTACAATACAGTGATTCAACAATTCTATATACTGCTATGTTAAGTGTACTCTTAATCCCCTTTACCTATGTTACCCATCCTTCCACCCATCTCCCCTGTGGTAACGACCAGTTTGTTCTCTATAGCTAAGAGTCTGTTTTTCTGGTTTGTCTCTTTTTCAAACATTTGTTTTGTTTCTTAAATTCCACATATGAGTGAGATCATATGGTATTTGTCTTTCTCTGACTTTTTTCACTTAGCATTATACCCTCTAGATCTATCCATGTCCTTGCAAATGGCAAGATTCCATTCTGTTCTTTTTTATGGAATATTTTATGAATATTCCATGGTATATATGTATGTATATATTTATATATATATGTACTGGACACTTGATATATATGTACTGGACACTTGGGTTGATTCCATAATTTGGCTAGTGTAAATAATGCTGCAAAAAACATGAGGGTGCAGGGGCGCCTGGGTGGCGCAGTCGGTTAAGCATCCGACTTCAGCCAGGTCATGATCTCGCGGTCTGGGAGTTCGAGCCCCGCGTTGGGCTCTGGGCTGATGGCTCAGAGCCTGGAGCCTGTTTCCGATTCTGTGTCTCCCTCTCTCTCTCTGCCCCTCCCCCGTTCATGCTCAGTCTCTCTCTGTCCCAAAAATAAATAATCGTTGAAAATAAAAAAAAAAATTAAAAAAAAACACAAAACATGAGGGTGCACATATCTTTTTGAATTAGTATTTTCAAACTTTTGGGTAAATACCCAGTAGTAGAATTACTCGATCATATAGTAATTCTGTTTTTAATGTGAGGAAACTCCCTACTATTGAGGAAGTCCACAGTGGCTGCACCAGTTTGCATTCCCACCAGCAGTGCATGAGGGTTCCTTCCCCGCATCCTCGCCAATACTTGCTGTTCCTTGTGTTGTTGATTTGAACATTACATATAGTTCCTGACAGGTGTGAGGTGGTATCACCTTGTGGTTTTGATTTGCATTTTCCTGATGATCAGGACTAGATGACTATTTTTGTTTACCGAGACCAATACAAGTTAAATATCGAATTCTAAATAACCACATCAATTGGAAAAGGCTAAACTCCAAGTCAGTCACCAAATACTAGATACACCAAATACTGTCAGCGTGACAAGTAACACTAAAGGTCTTACGTTCAGATGGTACTTGTTGCCGCCGAACTGTTTCCCCTACCAATTCCTTAAGTTTCTTCTTAAGATCTCTGCTAGTTTTCTTATAGAAATAAAGGTCTTTTTCCAGCTGCTGGATTTTATCTTCATATGTTTTGAAAGTTTCCATAATGCCTTCCCCCTCTTGCTCTATGAAATAGAAATTTACACTTCAAATCAGTTTAAAATAAATGGCTGAAAATTATGTTCTAACATAGTTTCCAGACTATACTTAATGAGTCAGAAGTATGTTACCTGTATCTGGTACCTGAAAGGATTTGTTTTCAGCTACAACTTGGATTCTTCTAGCCTTAGTCACCTTCTCCACCCTACCCCCTATCAATTACCACATTTTCACAATTCATTACTGCTTTTTGAGTAGCACTCACTAGATTTATCCTTAGAACAGCATAAATAAGGTGTTTTCCATTAAAAGTTCATGTTTGGAACCTGTCCATCAGTTGCATCACTTAAAGTTCCTATCAGGAACTGTGGATGTATGGAAAGTCATAGGCTCAAGAAATCTACAGCCGAGCCTCTACCTCTAAAAAAAAAAACTCCAAAAACCTGTCAAAAGAGGCTACAGAAAGATTAAATAACAAAAGCAAATACCCATACAAAAAGACAGGAAAATAGCATAAGTTGTAGTTTATGCTACAATATAACTTAAAGCTTCTAATTAATATTTATGAATGTCTAATAAACTGTCCCTATTGGGTATGTTTTAGAATCAGTAAAACCTAGTTATTGACCCTCTGAAAATAAATACTTTCCGACCTACTTTTTCCTATTGGTAAATTTACAAAATGGTCCTACTGTTTGTAATGATCCTTTGTTGTAACTGGCTGTTTTGAAAAATGTGATCTAAGTATATTGGATATTTTAAATTAACTCATTATCTTGTATTTAAAAGTACTTTAGGGGCACCTGGGTGGCTCAATTGGTTAAGCATCTGACTCTTCAGTTCAGGTCATGATTTCACAGTTCATGGTATCGAGCCCCGTGTCAGGCTCTGATTCTCTTTCCCTCTCTCTGCTCCTACCCTGCTCACTCGTGTGCTCTCTCTCTCTCTCTCCCTCGCTCTCTCTCTCAAAAATAAATAAATAACTTTTAAAAATACTTTAAATTAGGGGTTCCTGGCTAGCTCAGTGTAGTGTGCAACTCTTGATTTCGGGGTTGTGAGTTTAAGCCCCATATTCAATATAGAGATTAGTTAAAAAAAAAAATCTTTAAAAAAAATCTTTAGGGGCGCCTGGGTGGCTCAATCGGTTAAGCGTCCGACTTCGGCTCAGGTCACGATCTCGCGGTCCGTGAGTTCGAGCCCCGCGTCGGGCTCTGGGCTGATGGCTCAGAGCCTGGAGCCTGCTTCCGATTCTGTGTCTCCCTCTCTCTCTGCCCCTCCCCCGTTCATGCTCTGTCTCTCTCTGTCTCAAAAATAAATAAACGTTAAAAAAAAAATTAAAAAAAAAA